AATTTAGTAATAATCTTTATAGTATTTCCAAATAATGAAGAAAATGAATTAGCAAAAAAATTAATTGGAAAAGTTGGTGGAAAAGCTACTGTTCTTCATACTCCAATTACACGGAAAAAGTTAATTAATTTATTTATGCATATGGAAAGCAGTTACTCTGCTGCTAATAAAAATGATAAGAGCCTGCATGTTAATGAAAATATTTTGAAGGGAGTAGCGGATAAGTTTTATAAGTCTGAAGTTGCATATCAAGATATATATAAAGACATAACAAAAAGTGATTCTAAGATGAACAAATGCATTTTATGTGTGGTATTTTCTCGTTCCTTTTTATTTTCGTTAAACATATACCTTTTGATATGTTGATTTAATATGTATAATTTCTTTTTTAATCTGTTCTGGTAAACATTTGTCGTTATTTAAAGGATGATAATTCTATTAGTCTAGAGGTAATTTATGAATTTAAAAATGTCGACTCACATTCTTTTTATCAATTACTAATTCTTTATTATTTTAAGAACACATTACAACAAGTTTCAAAACTTGGTTATTCAACAATTTCTGCAACCAATGGTCTAGAAGCAGTCACATTGATTGATTCGACAACCCCGAGTTCATTATTTTCAGATATAGATCATATAAAGTCTCATGAAATTTCATTAATTTTAACAGAATATAATTTAGTAAGTTTATTGTTCTAAGTTTTTTATATTTATCATGATAAAATATTCACAATTCATTAATAATTATACTTAGCCAATCAGTTGCGGATTAGGCACATCATTTCACTCACCAGTAAACCATACTCTGCGTATGTAAGTTGTATCATCTCATAAAAAAATAAGTTTTAGAGAAACAAGCAGTATACAGTTATATCACCTTTTTGCCCAGAGTTTCGGATATATAACTTATAAGCAAAATTAAACAAATGTAGGACATTTATTCTGCTAAATGTTGGGAATATAACTTGGGTTGAGATATAACTTAGTGAGATATAACTTAGGTTTGATTGTAATTATGAAAGATAAAGATAATTAATCATATAAACTATAACAGGAGAAAAAGCTTAAGTAATTAAATATAGATAAAATTGCAAAACATCAAATATAAAGCAACTATTTTATTATTTTTAAATCCAGATTGGTCATTTGTGACAATAAATATTCTTTCACTTGGCAAGC